CCAATGAAACATTCATTACAAGTGTGTGATAATATTTGTAAAACTTGATATCCAATAAACACGATCTTATGTTCTTTATAAGTCATTTACCAGGTTTTGGTAAGACTCGATTTGAAAATCGGGCTGTGTTTATTGTTGAAACGTCGATGAGTTAACGGAGTATATTTCAGTTCTTTTCTCTATTATTTAGGAAGAAGAGGAACCGTCAAAGATATGAGATCCTCTATCCTCTTCCCTGTTCCGCATTCTGAAGTATTATTATAATCGCATCGAAATAAAATGAGCGAGGAGTTTCGTCAGTTGAATATCCCGCTACGAGCGCCGAACGACTCGTCGCGATGGTGGCGCCATTGCAATGGCGTTTGATACCAGCGCAGACGGACAGATAGTGCTAGCAGTTTAGTCGTGCACGTTTAAAAAAAGCAAAGGACAACAATACGCGATCGAGTGCGGTGGCGAAAAATCGGTGAAATGGTGGAGTTCTGTCTTGGGTATATTTAGAATCAGGTGAGTGATTCGTTACTTAATTAATACATCGTTATGTTCGTCGTGCGCCGATCGATGATGCACGACGCGGTTTTAACAACGTCGTCTCATATTCCGCGATCATTTACGTACATCTTGATCGGTCCGAAACATTTTACATGGACCACTAGGTGTCTCCGCTGAATTACATTTAACAATTTGTATACATTTAGCGATAAAAATGTCGCGATAGCGTTATGTTTTTAATTGTTTCCCCGAATCTCATGTCACCCCTCGTTACCACAACGTTAGACCCTAATACAGTACGGATTGTACCGCGGGTTTGAGCCGAATCAAATCCGCAGACAGAACTTCGTATGAGATGGATTTAATTGGTCACGGATATACTACAAGTATTTATCTGTACGTTTATCGAAACAGATAAAAAGATCAAAGCTTCTACGTGTATGGAGGCTTGTTTGATTCTCATTATTCGAGGTGATGTTCGCTCATGTGTCATAACCTCTTCGCGTACCGCGCGTAGTACCGTGAACTGTTTTATAACACGGCGACAGGTACGCACGCACGTACGTACGTTCGCGTACACATCGCACCGTAGTATTTACTTTATTGACAATGTTTAAGTCTCTGTCATCAATTGACAAAAGAATCGAAACCATAGATACGATCGTCGATTATCTTTGATTGTTTTGTGTTCTGTTCTTACTCGAGAATGGAATTCGGCTAATTGTAAGACGAAACGTAGAAATAAATTAGAATATGTCTCATACCGTGGACATACGCTGGGTTTATTAGCATTTAAATACATACGCTTAATTATAGTTTTGGTTAATGTCAAACGTGAATATTCATTAGAATTTCAGGAATTGTTCGAATCTAAGATCGATGGGCAAAGCATTACCGTATCAAGATTCACGTGTGCTTCGGTATTCACGATACCTGCTTGTTTTCGCGGGAAAATAGGTGACACGTGCTACACGATTCTCTATAGGATCTTAAAGAGATCTATATATGCTTTCACAATTTATTATTACATATTTATCTGTCTTATCATTGCATCGCGTTTATCAAGATAGATAACTTTGAACATTAGAGCAATACCAATTGTTTGATACAGAAAGAGTACGTGTGTATCGCATTAGTGCGACGCGGATCGAATTTTATCAGGATATTTTTTGTCTTTGGAAGTCAGCGTATCCTCGTTCCCGGGAAACCAAAATTCCACGGTGGCTTAATACCCCAACCCCCACCCACGATCCGGCCTCTATTGATTGCTCTACCGCACTACTGCCCTACTTTTACGACTTTACTCCACTCCCCGCGTACCCTTCTCTCAGTTTCTCTCTCTCTGGCTCCCTCGTAGCTCAGCTCATGTCAGCGTGGAGTCATAGACACACGGGAATCGCAAAGCTCGAAAGAGGAAGGAAGTTTGACTTACAATTAGCTTCTCTCAGAATTATTTAGTCTTATGATTCTGGAAATTGACTGTACTTCTCGATGTAGCTGATCCTGCTTCATTCTTCAACAAAAGTCGTACGCACCTCGTATTTCAACAGCAGATCGTTTAAATAGTTTCAACGTAAACGGAACAGTGGATAGGATAGATCGTAGTGAATAGCGTGAAACATATCCACGGATCGGATGATGGCAAATCGCGGATCCGGCGATAAATCAGCGGAGGTTTACCGCGACCATAAATCGGGCCTGGTAATGTTATGCACACCAGCGGTACGCAATTCTCTGGTGTCGAGCGTGTGTTGCACGCGTATGCTTACGTGTGTCACATGTGTATACACTGTTGCGTGCACAGGATCAAGGCTGCACGTGGTGCAGGTTTATTTTTGAATGGCCTGTAACACACTGTAACGTGTCCAGAGGAAACAAGGCTTTTTTTCCCTGGCTCGTCTTGCGTGCGGCCTTGAGATATTTATATGATTTTTCGTTCCTCACACCCGCGTGTCGAACCGTAACGTTTTTTGATAATTCGACGAGCCCTTCTTTTAGGTCGAGTGACTGTTAATTAGTCGGCTTATCAGGTGGACACTCGACGATGGATTTTTCTTTATCCGAGTAATTATCGTCGAGTAATTCTTTGACGAGGGTAAATCTCCCACTCCCAGATTATCGATCAACCTCGAGTTAAGTTTAGTTTGCCCGATTCCGGTTCACCGCTCTCTTCCTGGTTCCGAAGCCACGCGATTTTTCATTTCTTCATCGTTGGATTTCGTAACGCGTTAACTCGGTCCCATTCTCATAGGTCATGGAAATGTTTTAGGTCGTTCCGTGTCTCGTTAAAAGTTCATTAGTAGTCTTTATTTCTAATCGGAGTAGTAATAATTTCGCGCAGTGACGTAGATCAGTGCTGCGTCAGACTCGCGACAGTCACGCATTGATCCCGGTTAAGTAGTTACGCCCAAAACTGGTCGGACGGCCCGACGCTACTAAAACTCGCGGCTTTCACTCTCCGTTGTTTAAGAGCTTGATTATCCTTACGGATATAAAGTTCGTTATACGAGCGAGTGAGAATGATGGATTACGATAATTCAAACGTTTTAATCGGAACAGATGTTTCAGTAAAGAGACAATATAATTCAAGGAGTCCAATTGGAATATCGGATAGCATTGAGTCAATAGCAATCAGAGTCCTCTCTGATCATTGGTGGGATTAAACATCGATTCGAATCACTCATTGAGTAAGTAGTCCTCGCGTTGCATAGCACGGACTCTTTTATCCAGGAAGGTCATCGGAACGAGATGACTCACGCGGGATTCGCCGAATGCTTTCACTAATGCCGTGTCGAATCGCGGCCGTATTGATCCGCCGGGTCGCCTTAAGACGAATCGTGAGGGTCGATTTTCGGCTGGCACGCGAATCCGCGCGACGAATTCGCGTTCGGGGGGATCATGGTCACGGCACGAATCGTCCCTTATTGCGGCATCGTGCACGTGCCCACGAGGAAGGTTCTGTTAATCGTCTTTCGGGGAATTCCCAGCCGTGGATCGAAGGTAACCGTGCACATGGAGGTGAAGGTCAAGTTCACCAGTCGGACTCACGGCCTATCTCGACGATTCGCTACCACGGCTCTTCTTTCATCCTTCGGCCCTCGTTTCTCTTGATTCAAACTTTCTCCCATTTTTCTTCTGTAACTTCGCTGTATTCTTGTCACGCGTAGAATTTGATTTTAATTGATCAATCAAATATTCGTTGGAAACTCGTTAGGAGAAGCTATACATCTCGGAATTGTCTAAGATTCTCTGAAACAGCAATTTAGAAAGTTTTTCAGAGCGCGGAGGGAAACAAAAGTGGCAAAATTTTCTCCAGACGAATATTTCCAGCGATAAATCCACGTCGAGGGTGATTAGGGCTGGTTTTGCTGCTGTGGCAATAAATAAAAACAGTGGTTGCTCGCCGATAAAGCTGCGATACCAGATAATAGGTATGTGTAGGAAGCTCCTCGAGGGTCGCCGAGATAAAGAAGTGGCTGCAGCGGCCGTGATTCTATAAGAAATAGCATTACCCCTCAAAGAACCTAACAATCATCCTCTTAACGAGCTGTTAGTTTCGTTTCCTATCTCTACAACCCCCTTCATAAACGTAGTAGCAATAGTACCTTTATTGCATTCTCTAAGTTTATAAAGTCTTGATTACTTAACATTTGAATTGTTACAATCTGGTTCCATAATAATTTTCCAAAAGCATTTCAATACTTCACGTTTCAACGAGAACTATTGTCGATAGGAATAATAGTTGTCTATTATTAATTCAGTACAGAAGAAAATTCGCTGATAATTAAGTCACGCGAGTAGCGCACGTGTTTCCTGTAAGAACTGTTTGTTTCAAGGAACAGTGTTCCCTGGGTATGAATTCTGAGTCATCCTCAGGGCGAGCAGGGTCGCGTTACATCATTAATCTCTCCCCTGGTAGAGAAGGCACTCATTTCCACTACTTGGGATTGTTCATCGCTGTGGCGTGACAGTTTTAACGAGCACAAAAATTGCTAAATTGATTTTTCAATCAAAGCCCAACAGCTGTGATTTCAATCCCCTCTCGGCATAAAAAATGTTTATCTCATTCGACGAATTATTCGTCGAGACCATTAAATTTTATGAACATGCGGACGTTCGTAGAAACTGTAATTAATGTCAACACCGTTTGGACGATCGATCTTTCTCTTATCTGTATCAATTTTTCCCTGAGAAAACACGGTCTTAGGAAAATCCCGTAAACGGTGGAAAATACGCGGACAATGACCGGAAATTTGCGAGAACCTCTTACTCACCCCCGTCTTTAGATGCAACGACCGTACGGCCGCACGTGTCTCTTGAATTTTTCATGGGACTATCGCTTTGTGAATATAGGAAGCGAACGCGACTCGGCCGATTCGTATCAAGTGGTCAGTTTCTCAAGTAATCAGATGCTACGGTTGAAGCACCGTTCACAACCGTGTCCCCACCGCAATATTTAAAATGGTACCTGATAAATCAGGGGTAAAGGCAATGACGAATTATTTAGAAAATCTGGCAATTATGTTTTATTCGTGAAATAGATATAGAAATACACAGTTTTATGCATTAGAATTGCAATTCCTATTGTGGAGTGAACTAAAGCGCTCTATAGTTGCCTTCCTCCACGAGAACCCGCGAGGTCTATGGTTGATGCAAAATGCACTGCTGCGTTTGAATAATGCACCATCGGTGAGCAAAGGCTCCACGATGTTGCGTATATAAGTAGTGCACCGCAGAAACGTCATACACGTTCAGTAGCGTTTGATGAAACCGTATCGCCAGCAGGGGCGTTCTTACGCACGCACAGGTACGTTCTACGCCATCTGAAAATTAAATGTAAAACGATGAGGGTAGATTGGGAAGAAACCTTTGATATGATAGCCCGTTAAAATGACTCAGCCTCCCTCAATGATTGAACCAGTTATTTCTACCCAGATTTCTTTAACGGTTAATCGTCGATCTCGATTATATTCTTCGAACGATAGCTTAACGTAGATTGGACTATCTTTCTCTCTCGATGAAAATCGGTCCGGCGTTAAAACACCCGCGTTATTTTTGGTCCAGAGGCCTACAGAGAGATATAACCTGTCAACCGGTCGAGTTTCTCTCCCTCTCGCTCTCTCCACCACGTTCTTTCATTGATGCTGGCGTCAGAAGACTGTCCTGACGTAGCCCTGGACCAATGCCAAAATTGACCAGTCCTCGACCGGGAACATTACGTATGACTTTTGCTGCCGGCTCATCGTTAAATGCAGTTCACAGTTTGCCACGCCAGTAACACTCCCGTTCTCGAACCGAATCAACAGGGTGCTCCTCTTCCTCGTTCATTAGATTTTCATCAACGTCCGTTGCTACGACGTCGTTGACATTAGATATGCAGGAGCCATCCTCTTTTTCCTATCATCTTCTCTAAGGAGTTTAATATCTTAGGCTTCCACGATTGAAAAATTCTCTTCGATCCGATTTGTCTGATGAAAATCAGAAATGATGGAAATTCTGTTTCGATGAAAGGAGGGAATTGGTAGTTGCAATGAAATCACAGGCGGAGACTGAAATGCAACTGTCGGCAGAGAGAGAGAGGAACCGGATGCTAGCAGTATTGATCCGACATGAGCCCAAAACCGCTTCTCTATAGCTCCTTTCAATTTCAGAGCATTCTTCCTGATCGTCCATCCGTGAATTCATGCCCCCTGACGAACGGAGGCACGTGTTGCTTTCTCCGACATGTCCTCGCTTTGTCAGTAGAAAAACTGTGATTCGAGTTCGAAATTCTTTGCCACCGTTCCCTTCATCTCAAACTGTTCCTGAGGGAAATGTCAGGAACGATACTTGGAAATTGTTATCCGGGAGAATGTTTAAAATTGAACGTGTAGATAATTGCTTATACCAGTCGTGGTTGGGAGAAGAGGGTGAGGAAAAAAGGTGGCGAGAGATCGATGGTACTAAATACGCTGCGTACGTATATCTGTCGATAGAGATACGTGGCCAGTCGCTTGGGCATCGTCGTGAAAATATTTTCATTATAAATAGCGGTCGATTCAGCGCAGAAGCCGTTCGTGCTTTCACGTGCGATCCCTCGAGTTCACCGCGTGTTCGCGCGAAAAACTTTTTGCTTCAATCAGATATAACCGCTCGGTTCCAATAAGAATTATATGTGTACATAGTTTTAACGAACAGTACGATTTTTTTATATCTCGTTTGGATTGACTTGGAAATTTGTAACCACGGTAGAACATATCGTCTACTTTCGTACAGGTTGGATCTGTTGTAGATTTGTTCTTCGTTCCAAAGATATCTTCGAGCATTTGGGGAATATTTAGAAGTATCGATCCTTAGGAATAAATACAGAATCTATAAGTAGAAGCAAATAAATATTGGATATTATCTAAGGAGGAGAGTATTTGTAGAAAAAATATATAGACTACGTTGATCCTCATCGGAGTTACCGGTGCACAGGAAATGGCCAAGGTTTCTGCTTATCTTCCGTCAAGGCTGTCCTAAATGGCATCTATAATTCAGTACGCCCGAGCTTTCACGAGAACGCATTAGGGTCCCGATTGTTGAAAATCCGTGCAAGAGAATCGTAGCTACTCGTGGGAAGGTGCGAGAGATGATCCGTCTTCGTCGTTTATTCTCTGCCCTATTTGCTGGAAATATAGGTCACGGGGTTCAGCTACCCTCGGGTCGACTGCTGTACGGGTTGACCCGACAAAATTTATCCGGTTCCCCATGATTCCGTCGTTGCCCCAGTTTTCCCGTTGCAGAATCCGAATTCACTTTATTAATTAAGCGCTAGTGTATTCCCAGGTTGGCTGTAATTATTTTCTAAAACGATTTTCAGCAGACGGATGAATTATTAAACGGTTTAATTCTTATCTTTTAATATAATTTTGATTTGGGTCGCATATTTACTTTGCAGTAGATCGATGAACATCTCTCGCGTGAATCGCGAATCTGATCTTCGTCTCCCTGAAAAGCCAAACCATTTTTCGTAGAACAGTGAACAAGCGAATCTGGTACTGTTCAATATTATTTTTATTAGATCACAGAAGCTTGACGTACAAATGCTTGCTGGAATAAACATGACACGATTCCATAGAATTGTTTTATGACGGATTGAGTAACTCATTGAAAACAGTTGTACAATTATAATTCTAGTGGCGACAGACGTCAACGATCGTTCTAATGTCGTAATAGGCGATCGACTTATGCCTCAGGATATACAACTAAAATAATACCGGTTGGATCCGGGCCAGCCGGATCTCGCCATTGTCTTTTTAGCTTCTCGTAGTAGTCATCGGACTTGTCCATCGGTGAAGAAAATCGTGCGGCAGCTGCTATCGCTTTTCCTGATGCGAATCACGCGAAAAACAATCGTCCAGTCGTTGTACGCGCTTTCTCTCTGTTCTGGGAAGCCCGTGATCGATAATTTTGCGTCTGGCTTCGAGGCATCGTGGTCAGAGCACTATTTGGAAATCGGTTACCCTCGGTTCGATAATTGCATAATACGCAAATTCGTTGATCACAGTTAAGAGTATTATGCGATACGCTCCTCCGTTTCCGGGAGTTCCTTTTCCACTTCCGTGGGATTATAAACGGTTTCGCGAGAGGGAGACATAAAAATGAGAATGGAAATAAAGTTTACTGCGGGAGCGAATGTGGCAGAGATACTCAATCGTCCCGGAAAACCACCTATCCCGCGCACACTGCGGCACTCGATTCCTACTCGATTTGAACTTAGTCAAAATTTGTCAGCTGCCTCTGGCAAATAGGATTTTTCATCCTACTGTTAAATCACGCGGCTCGATATCGCTTATTCTATAAATATCGCCCCCATCCGTCTCATCTTACTTCCGGCATGGTTTCACGCTTCTTGGAAGTTGTTGGGCGAGCGTCGTCTACTACATCCGACCGAAAAAAAAAAGAATTCGATCTTCCATAATGAAAAGTCCACTCGAAGTTGTATTAGCCTGTCGCTCTTCGCTCCGTTCGTTGTTTAATCAACGCGGTGGACGTTGCCAAAGGAGTTTGGCACCCTTTCATAAATATCCTGTAGAACCGATTGGTATTGAGAGAGATTGGCTAATTTTCTATCTACTTGACACCGAGCGAATCGATAACAAATATCGTCTAGAAGTATTTATATTAAAAAAAAACTGGAAGATCTGAGCCTGTTGTATCGTACAAAATTTATTTTAATAAAGTAATTTATTGACAACTTATATTACGGAACAGTTCTGTTTTCTTCCTTTCTGGAGCTTATATTCATTTGAGAAATAGATGCATTGTCAGAAAATGGTTGAAAGGTATCCTTGTTCGAAATGTTTAACACGCGGAGGGTGGCCGTTGCGTCTGTCCAGGGAGAGTAGGTCGTTTCCATGGCGACAAGGGGTGCATCGGACTGGCACGTATTGCTAAACTGAACGTACCCCCCTGGCGGCCTCTAACCTCCCCATATATCCCACCTCCTGCGGAATATCCTACCCCGTGCTCCGGCCGTCTCCTCGTGGCTGGGTCATCCCTCCCGCAGGAATTAGGTTACTTCCTGGAATTGGGTTTTCCGACTGGTCCTCTCTTCTTTGGACCGCGCGAAAAATTCTTTCCCGGCCGCTCTCACCCTTGGCTCCCAAGGCCATGCTCTTTGGAACGCTTCACAATAGAGCTGCTCCAAAATGATTAATTAACTCCCGATAGGGCGATTCAATTTTCTTTACATCGTGCAACCATCGACCTAGTTTCCATTGAACATTATTATTTTTTTAATCGAACCGCGTTGTATACACGTGTCATTTTTAAAACCCGCTGAAAGGTGTTTACAAATTGCGATGCGTCGGCAAACTAAACGCACCCCTTTCGATCTACAATTAACCCGGTGTATCGATGTCTTGATAGACTGATTCAGAATGCGTCATCGGGAGGAATAGCCTAATGTCGCGTGTCGGAAACCATCGGACGGGGCTGAAAGTAGTTCGAACTACGTGTTTTAACTTTTGTTCCGCCGTAACCCTACGAGATTGGGGAAGATATAGGACGCTATCCCACACGATTCCAAATTAACGCGGTTGTTATTGCACCATTCGACATCAATATCTCGCATCGATTATTCTCGATGAGCGCCGTTACTAGAATCCTTCATTTCATCTGTTTAAAATGGAAATTGGAGCTTTAAAAAAGTGGCTGCACCATTTGAACATCGGGCACATAAAAATCGATTGTTTCTGAAACTTAGTCTCCGCTGTCTCGCGCGGGCACACGTTTTCTTGGAACAGCGGGTTAGTCCTTGATCCTTCTTTACTCAGCAGCTGGGAGACCCAGTTTCTTTTTTCGAAGGAGGACACCCTGTATTATTCCAGGGGATACAGAGGTGCACGACCTAGTTACGCTTGGGCGTGTTATATGGGTCATAGACACCATTCGCAGCCAGTCGTACGTGTCACGCACACACTTATACACTCTCCAGAAATTACGCTAGTTTCCACGGAAACGTGATCCTCCGAATACGGGGTACTCGGTTTTATAGCCAACGTATATCGTGCAATTATCAAGAGACATAAATTCGTCCAGATAATGATCGAAGGAAGGAAGCATTTGACCAGGAATACAAATGCAACCGTTTGAATATATTTCTGTATTTTATATAATCGATGCAAATTTATATATCACGGTAGGAAGTATGTAAATTGCTTGGCGATGCACGCGCGAGCTCGACAGGCCCTGGGTAGAATTTTCCCTGTACGACTAAGCTGTCTCTCTTCCTTCCGTCATTTCCTTTTAACCCTGAATCGCTGAAAAGCTTCTCGCTGAAAAAGTGCCACGCGCGCGTCCATGATACTCTTTTTCCTAAGACGATCTCGAGGACGTTTCTTTGATCGTACGTTCCTCGATGGGGTGAGGTAATTATGAGAGAAATGATAAACAGAAAAAGATTAAAAAATCTCTGCGAACTTGCTCCTTCGGATCTCTCATTGAAAGTTCATTTCGCCACGACTTCTGAGATTTCCTTAAAAAATTGCTTGACCTTTTCAGACATGAAACAGCGTTTTCTGTCTCCTTCCCTTTCGTTAGAAATTCTCTGAAGGATCTCGCGGTCCGCGATCATTACCAATTACAGCGACACCCGGTGTATTCTTGACACGCGCACGCGTGCACTTGCTCGACACACGTATTTTATTCTCTCTTTCCCTCTCTGTGTTCTCTCCAGTGGAGAACCGATGAAGTCGGTCTGCATCCTCGCTAAGTATTGTATCCTACACGTCTTTGTAAAAAATATTTCAATCATTCCTTTCATGATTTTCAATCCCTTTGCAAATTCTCTTTGTCTCTCTCTATCTACTGTGTTCTTCTCGTCTCCCTTCTCCTTGTTCTCTCTCTGTCCCACCATCGGGCACAGTCGGTCCTTGTCGCTCTCGTTCCTCTTTCCCCGTCTCATCCGCAAGCCGAGGTACCCGCGTTCGTTTCTCTCTCAGTCTATCGCGCAAGGCGGTTTCGAAGCGACGCGTATCGCGCACTAGATTGTGGCTGGTCCAGGTCTCACCTGCGTGTTCCCTCGTGCCCGTCTTTCTTTTATCTCCTGCCACTCTTTTCGAACGAATCGAATCCCTGGTCTCTCTGTAATATCCTGTCTCTTCGATTCTGCTTGTACCGGTAAGGGTGAAGCAATGATCGTGTCGGTTTGGTTCGAGGATGGATCATCGTAGAGAAGACAAACGAAGGTGGTGGTTATTCGTTTCAACAGATGCTCGGTAGAGTACGAGGAAGGGACTGCGGGAGAAAGAGTGTATTGCTATTTTCGAGACGTCGTGGAGCCCGGCCAACGCGTGCGTCCGGTTCACGGTACGAAAAAAAACGAGAGAGGGATTCGCGGGTGGATGGTAGATCCACGATAGATCCTGCGATCGATCCGTGGCATCCTCCTCTCATCGTGAGAATCGTTCGGCGATCAATTCGAACCGCGCGTACGATCGTCCAGCCGATCGTTAACCCGCGTTAACCCTTGATATTTAATTCGGAACGAATTAATCGGTCATTAGTTGTCGTGAAGAAACTCGGTTTCTGTGCTTTCTCTGAGAGTTCGGTTCGGATCGAAAGTGTTTCGTGCGAGAGAACGATGATCAAAGAGCGTGGGATCTATCGTCGATCCGAAGCAGAGGACGAAGTTCGGGTTTAGTCAAGAGAGAAGATGCTTCCATCGAAGATCTAGTGCTCTCAGTTCGTAGCAATGATTCCTATACTTTGTCGATTAATCGTCATGGAGATTGGCCTCTGGAGGTTCGTTCATCGTTCCATCATCGATCAACAGTTTTTTTACCGATCGAATAAAATGTTTTTACGTTCCGTGTGATTCTTGTCACGTGTAATGCATGTACCAGCTAACTTGTGACCAGAACGCGATGCTAATGAATCTGTGATCAGATAGCGGAACGAGATACTTGCTGGTTGATCACAGAAAACAATTAGGGTGTTCTTTGTGTTCCCTTTGCATAAACGCGTCGTGTTGTATCTGCTTACAGAATGTACGATGTTGGAAGGTGGCCGTGCAGTGATTTGCCTCCTTGTATCAGCGCGACGAGCTGCACGCCACCCAAAAGATTCACGTACTAACCCAGTTGCACCTGTTTGAACAAAAAGATACCACCAGTTGCAGAATCCTGCACCGTGTAACCCCATGACGCATTTAACACATGGCCCGCCTGGAGAGTAAGTGTTATTTCGCCGCTCGCTCCTCCCGTTTCCCGCTTTTTCCACGTCCGAATCTCCTTCTCTTCCTCTGATTTATCGAACGAGCCGCGCGCGCTACATCAAACAAAGCGGTTCCAAGAAACCCGTCTACTTCCGTTTTCCCTAGCGAACAATCGTACTTTATACAGAGGGATCGCTAATTAGCCCGAGAAGCGAGATACAGACGCGCAAGCTGATTAATGCTTTCCTTTTCTATAAATAGTATATTAATTCTCGCGCTATCAAAGGGGTTGATCTTCTCTGCTCCCCGTATTCATACGTTTGCACGAAGAGTTTTTATTTTATGAAATGTATCGTTGAACACCGGATCACGCGGGACAGCAAATTTCGCTGACAATGTCTCGAGGACCGTCGCGCGGCTCACTGATATAAACATTGTCAGTGAAACATTGTCGATAAAAACTTTGAAAATGTCTTCATCGATTTTTATTCCGAAAAGATATCTCGTTACGTGATTGAGAGACTTGGATCAGAGTCGAGTTTCGGTTGTTTCAGTACCAAGTATAGTGGTGCATAAAGGCAGCAGGTCGCACAGTCGACCTGATAGTCCCACGGTGGTGGTGCGAGGAGGAATGCCCTCGCTGTCGTCCACCAAGCAAGGCTTCGTCTCGAACGCGTCGTACCAGGACAGCCCAGACTCGGATATGATAGACGGGAATACTAATCCGAATGTCGGCTCTTCTCCAGCATCGAACTCGCTCCATCGCGGAGGGTCTTGCCCCTCTGAAAAATCAGAGACGGAGAACAAGAATTTTCGCAATAGGGTGCGTGTCTTTCGAATCTCGGACGGCGCACGTTAAGATTCGAACGATACGCGTGGGGACGATGTTTTTAAGAATGGGAAAGTTCTTTTCCAGACAAATACAAAAGTGAAACTGCTGGTCAGAAGTCTTGCTATGAGAGAGTCAGCGTCGCCTCCTAGGGACCCGCAGAACGGCTCGTCGCCGCCGCAGAGCCCGCAATCGATGGATGGCGAGAAGAAGTTCGTCGGCAACCTGTCTCCTAATTCGAACGCAAAGCTTAACAACAACGAGTCAATGTTCAACAGCAATCTTTGCCCGAGTCAGTCCCCGAAACAGATGCGCAACACGGCTACGTCGCCCACCTGCCGAACTCCATCTCGAAATGGTAATAGAATGAAGAAACAGAATTCACGTCCGCGTGCTTTTTGGATTTTATCGCGAGAAAGGGTGTGTTCGTTTCCGTCGCAGGTCAATCTAGTCCCTCTCAAGTTCACTCACCAAAGAATAACACGTCACCGACGAACGGCAACAAGCAGGATAATCAGCGGAAGATGGCAGGCTCGAACGTGGTTCAGAAATGCAATAACTGCGTGAAGAACAATCAGAATGACAGGCCCGGATTGCTGCAGACGCCGCTGTCTCCGTCGAAGTCGGGCCAGGCGTTGCAGCACTCTCCGAAGAGCACGAACCTGGCCCAGAACTCGCAGAACAATCAACAGAAGTCGGAACAGCAGCGCAGACCGAACATGTTGAATATCTGCAACAACCAGTGCTCGATGCAGTGCGGAAACACTCTGTCCGTGAGCAGACCCAGCTCGCGGCACAAGCTTAGGCATCAGAATTCTTCTCAGGGTAGCTTCGACAGCGCGTCCCCTTGTCTCTCGCGAGGTTCGTGCATTATATTCACCTCCTCTTTGCTCGATAGCAGAAATTTGGGATCGTAGACGAGTTGAATTTTTCTCATCGCAGATAGCAGTACAGAATTGTACACGGACAGCACCGGCATAGATTTGGAGCATTTCATAGCCGAGACCATAAATCGTAACCAAAAGGATCGCACGGTGCTCTTAAAAATCGAGAAAGACTTGATAGAGTTCGCGAAGGACAAGCAGAAGGTTAGTCACAAGTTCCCTAACATGTCCTCTTACAATAGGATGTTGGTCCACCGAGTGGCGGCTTACTTCGGCATGGAGCACAACGTAGACCAATCCGGATCCTGCGTGATAGTCACCAGGACGAAGAACATGCGGATTCCGAACACACGGTTCAAGGAGCACATCAGGGACGACCTGATACTATCGGAGGAACCACGTCGAAGCATCCTGAAGAGAGACTCGAGCTCGTTCGAGGACAGCTTCAATTTTAAATCGCCCGACAGACTGTCCGGCGATTACTGTCGTCAGAGTAAAAGTTTCGAGGAACGGGAAGAAGAATACGAACGCGCACGACGGAGGATATTCAAAGACAGCGGCGAGGTCACATCTTGGCCTTACTGGTCGTCCTCCGAGAGCTCTGACGCTTCCGCGAGGTATCGTCTGCTCCATCCATCGGACCACACGATGAGGTGAATATTGCTGATGAAAGGTTTTTTCATTGTACCGTGGTTTAGTCTATGTTGTGCTTGTAACAGGCAAACGAAGCTCGTAAAGGGCGAGTCGTTTGACAGTCGGGAGTCCTGCCGAGGTTCGGTGCTAAGGCCATCCGTATCTAAGTCGTTCAGCTTCGGCGGCTACACCAGGGGCATGCTATCCAGGGGTGACAGCGTCACGTCTACACACAGCGCGGGAGCTCGCCTCATGAAGCAAGGTTCGTTCACCTCGTGATCATAACTTTGGAACATCCTCTCGTAACAAATTGTCGGTCGATCGCAGATTCAGGTGCTAGTATGTGTTCACGGCTGAGCCCTTCGAGTAGCGGTTATAAGTCTCAGAGCCAGCGGAGTGACGCGACGATATCGCCATCACCTTCCCCGTCCCCGGTAGCGACCATGACCTGCAGTCATACCCAAGTATCTAGTCAGGATTTTGCCTCGCCGGACTCGAACAATCAAACGGTAATGTGGGCAGTCACTAGTATATCGAGCGTTCCGCCGGGTAGCATAATCATAAACCCTCAAACGAATCAACCGTACACGAATCCGGATGGGTCGATCTATCGTTTCGATCCGGAGAATCCTCCGAAATTTTATACACCTCACGAGAACGAGAGGAGCAACGTGTCGCCCGCGAAGAACATCGAATCATCCGAGCCACCGAAGATGTCGAGCAACGCGAAGACCGAGAAGAAGAAGTGTGGCAAATACAACGGTGGTAACGCGACGGCGGTGACGCACGTGACAAACTCGGCGACGTCGCCTAGTTTGCCGTACACGCCGCCTCCCCAGCAGAATCCGGGACCGCCGCCGCCGCCACCACCGCCACCGCAGCCACCGCAGCAGCAGCAGCAGCAACAAACTCTAGTCAAACCGCCGTCGTCGTGCAGCCACAACCAAACAGCTCAACCGTACACGACCTACGTGCCTACCTCAGAACAACCATACAACCAGGGTGTCTATCCGCCGTCGGTGGGACAGCAGGCTGTGATGATGGCCCCACACCAGGGCCAAGGAAACGTCCCGAGCAACGGCCAGGGTGACGTGTTTAACCAAAATTCAGTTTACACGAATTACGCGGCCGTACCTGTGCAGCAAGGACCAATGTCTCAAACTACGGAGATCACCGAGCTGTCCGGGTACTTCATGGGAATGAGTGTCTACGATCAGAGGATGAGCGGCGATAATCATTCCACACCGCCACAATCTTTCGCGCAACCGCAACCTAATTCGACGAGTCAGGGGGTGCAGAGTGTGCAGACCATGCCGCAGAATTACTGGCAGCCACCGCCCAGCGCTGTACCGGTACGAAACATTTTCCTCCTTACTCATATCGAAATATCATTACGAAAATCGTATTCCCGTTAATCCGTTCGTTTTATAGCCCCAACAGACAATGTATTTTGTGCCCCCGCCCGCTGCAACACTCTCGGTCAGCCAGGGTCCGGGCGATAGGCAGCAGTTGCACCAGCAACAGAGATTCGCGACGAACTATTCTTTTAATGCACAAACTATGACTCCTCCGAGCCAATCCAATTGTACGTATCTCGTTTCATTGTCTTATTTTATTGATCGCCCCTCATTTCATGTTTCCTATTTTAGCTAATTACGTGGGCAGTTACCCTGTCCCTTACAACGCTTCGATGCCTGGTGTAACACCCGCGCCAAGCGATTATACGTACCAGCCACCGGTTCACATGGTCTCCACGTACTATCCACCTAATCAGGCGGCGATCCAACCACCGCCCGTCATGTACAGAGTACCGACGCCACCGAACACTCCCACTTCTAATCAGGTGATACTCGTTATCACGATTCAGTCAAGCGATTCATTAATCATTTCAGTGTCTATAATCGATGAATTATATCAGATGCCCGGGATGCCGTTGATGTACATCAACTCTAGCAGCTATCCCCCACCAACGATAGTATCGAATGGAACGTTTGGTCACCAAGTCGGGCACAACGGTACATCTCCCGCACCTCCCGCGACATATATGACTCCCGCGCTGGTTCCGAATCTTGTATTCAGACAAAACGTTCCTGTGAGTATGGGAACAGTCGTCAATCTTCTAATTAAACGAACCATTAGAAACGATCGGACGATGGGATACATATTCTAGGTCGTCGCTGGCGTTCGAGCTTCGACGCCGGGTAATTCTCAGAGAACCAGCAGGTCGCCGACACCAGCGCACGATCTGTTCGGAAGTGGGAGCGGGGACAGAAACGCACAACCACAACCACGGTACCCACTGCCAATGTATCAGGGTGTCCATATTGTGCAAGGTACGTATTCTTTATTCGTGCCAATACGTCCCCGAAGAGTTACTCGATTTAACTTTGTATTTGACATTTATCTGGTTCCAGGGGACATGAGGTTGATGCACCCCGCGGTACCAGCCAACCCGCGGTTGCAGTACGCTCCAGTACCATCACCACCTGTTGTTCAGGGTTGCCCACGACCGTACCGACCGCCGTCTTACTCGTCGAACACCTCGGGCGCCGGCACACCCACCTCGTTTGATGGAAGAAATCCGAAAATCCGTAAACAGAGGTGATTCATCATGTCGTTATTCCATCACGTTGATCAATTATCTATCAACATATTTGCTAGCCGATGATCGTTCATATCTTCAACGCAGTTGTACGTATATCACGGCAGCGAGTATGTTAAAATGTGTTAGGGTTTAAAGAAAATAATTGTTATTGTTACATTGAAAGCACGGCGCGTTAAGATGGGAATCGGGAAAGGTAATGTAAATTGTTCGTTAGGTCCAAAGTAGCACCGTTGCCACCGACAGGCGCTCGGCCCAATCTTTATCAGACCCCTTCCATGCCGTCTCTCTCGTCTAACGTGCCGAAGGATATCAGAGAAGGTAAGAATCAGTATGAATCTTTTATTAAGTAGATGTCTGCCCGGGTACGTTGCTTGACAAGTTTCTGTTTCATTTTTTCCCTCTTACCTCCCGTCTCGCTTATAAAGAATGAAATGTGACACAACTTTTTGACACGTTCTTGTATCTCCTTAAAAGCGAAACCTGTGGGAGACAATATGATATAAGGTACAGAACTTCAGTATAAACTTCTACGAAATGGACACACAGTATATTCTATACATTGTAATTATTTAGGCGCTTATTCACACGCGTTGATTTTCGCTTCGTTGTGACATCTATTCGTATGGAAATATGCCTGGAACCTACCTTCCTGTTTCTTAGAATCACCTGAAATTATTTATTTCAATGAAATAGATGTTAAAGACGGATTGGTTTTGAAAAATGGGAAGCTACTTGTTTCAGTGCATATTCGATTATGGCACTGTACGCTTATTCACTCACGCGCACAGGTTTCTATAGGATTAGTTCAATTATCAATCTGCTTCATTATTGTGCAACACGATAATTTCTTCTCAGCTTATTTTAATCTTCTTAATTTTTTTTTAAACCTTCTGGCTTTATTCTTTCGCACGATAAATCGAGATTAAGTCTCGCGACGATATGTAACGTGTACACTTGTTCACAAGTTTTTTTCCATTCGTTTATTAATCGGAATTCAGTCAGTTTTACAGAACGTTATTGCATTTCGTACTATAGCGAACGTTCGGATTTATTTTCCGTAATCTGTTAATGCTGTACATTATATGAAAATGGTAATGGAACATTAGAGCCTCAGAAAAGGGGAGATAGAAAAATATATTGGTTGATAGGTCTACTCGTATACGTAGTTTGTGATTCTGTCTACGTGGAAGTACGCTTTAGAGCAGCTATTGCCGGTTCACGAAGTTCGACTCGATTCTGATATGCACCACAGATACAAACTCACACGGCATTGTAATTCACGAGGATCGGTCAGCGGGGCCAGCGCTGCTCTCAGAAGTGATCTTTTAATTGCAGGGACCGTGAAGGTGACAATCACCCGTCGTAACCAACTGGTACAATACTAAAATAATTTGGGCCAATATTTGGGGAAGTTGATCAGCGCTGAACAGCGAAATAACAAAATGTAAAACAAAAGACAATTTAGAAGGAGTGATTTATCGCTATACACATAGAAACACATAACAGACGCATCCCCCACACACGATCCTTATTATTAATATTAGAACGATACTTTTAATTAATTATTTAAGAGGAATGGAGTATAAAGAAAGCACACACTGCTAGAATATAAAACTAATTCACACGTTTACGAATCGAAAAAGAAACGAACAAAAACGAAAACCACCCCATAAAAAAAGAGATATTACACATCCGTTTTGATAAAACACCGAAGCCAAGAGTTGCATTGAATTCGTTCATGGTAACTAGAAAAAAAGTAACATCTGAATTGAGGAGAAGTACGGCAGGAGACGTGGGAAATATACACTGCGTGTACAAAAGGATAGGATCAATGCGTGCGTTGTTTTTTTTTGCGTAGAGCGCGATAGACACAGTGGTACACACCGAACAGAGTTACTGAACAGAATTTTAAACTATTACGATTATTATATATTATATATACAGTATATTATATTATATCTGGAGATATTTTAATCGCGGTTTTTCAGATAAACTATATGAATGTGAGATTTACTTTTAAGGAAAGGTAATTTTAACGTGAACGCATTTCGGATTCCCTGGCCCCGGCCCTATCAGTCGCGGCCGGCCAGGGAAACCTTGATTAAAGAAATATACGAGTATCGTAATATACACGTTACTGAGTACGTTTACAGCCGCGAAATAGCTGTCGAGAATCTCTGGCTCCACGTTGCTCACCGTGAAATATCCGTGTACTGCCATCGAGGACCCGCGTTTCGATCTCGAGAGTAAATATTAGGGAGAGCAAATAAAATAAATGCTGCCAGTCACGATTCGAGGACAGAGTAAAATTATTTGCTACCTCAATTTTATATAAAAACGAGAGTTCTTTCACGTTACATCGGCCTTTTATGAAAACGGAATTGCGAGCTCCTAAAAGAAAGCTTTTTCATTCTTTCCATCGCAATTCCATTCGAGAGAAATGACGAGTCGAGCGTTTGGTATAAATCGAATGATTCATCTCGATGATCTTTTGTCGCCGAACGCTTCTGATCTCTCTTATTGTTTTGATCGAAGTTTGCTGACAAAGAGAACACGTAAACGTATTCAGTAGCACGGGTCTATTATATCTAGTTTGACACAAGTAGTTAAGTAGCGCGAAACCATCACAGCTTAGTGTCAAAGAGCAAAAATACAGAAACCTGCCTCGCATGCGTCTTTAAACGACCTTTCTTCTTTCCGTTCTAAAATAGGGAATTGATACCAGACGCGTAAGTTTTACGACGATTTATTTTTTCGAAGAAAAGTTAAATACGAGACGTACACACAGAAACGCAGTAACTATGATTCGTCTTCCAAGCTTCACAGCACGCTTCTGAATCCTAATAGATGTTCGAACTACGTAATTAGATATACGTATCTACTTTTCCTGCCCTATTAGTTACGACTTTTATCCAGAATCGTCAACGAATATTTCAAAAGCTTGATACGGACGGCAGTTTTTTTTTTATCTTTTAGTCGACTAGTTTGAATTTCTGGGACTATGGTCATGCCCTCGTGATTCCTTTTTCGGTCATAGTTCCAGCATTACCTTGATGGTACTCTGTCAGTAGCTCTACCAATTCCCGATATTGTCGATGGTCTTGACCGAGTCGAAGAACCTGGATGGGGTTGTCGTTGTTGCTGCTGTTGTGATAGACCCGGTCTACGAATGCAAAGATTCTTGCCACTCAGAACGAGATCAGCCAGATCCCTTTGTTGAGGGATTTTGGGCTGCTCATGGAAAATAGTTTAATTTTCTACGATGTTCACCGTCCTGTGTTGGTCGAGACGTTTCGACGACGATTCTCAATAAAAGGCGAATACACGAGGCTAATTACAATGCAAGATAAGCAATATATGTATCAGTTTGGCAGCGGTGATGGTGACGCGTGATCGTCGTAATTAATAATGTCTCCGTCTGTGAAAAAAGTTCATCTGCGGATCAACGTAGATGATCTTCGTTCGAACGAGCCGTAAATTCGATCTTAAGTTTCGATTAGATTTTTCTCCGTTTGGTATAACAGGAGAGGTGTACGTTGTTCCGCATGAGAAATAACAAGTGGAATCCATCCAGAAGCTTCGCTTACGGTGATTGTACTTCAGGACGTAGGTGAAGGGTGTGCCTATCTTTTTATGATAGAGAGAAACCTTTCTACCTTGTGCCAATCGATGTTTGGCACTTATTCGTTAAGAAAGCGTGATAAATTTTTCATGAAAACGATGAGAAAAATAGATTTAAAGATAGGGCGGGGCGAGACAGAGACCTGAAATAAATTATTAGACGGACGAACGATATTAAACGTTTCAATTATAAAGAGATGGGCGCACAACAAAGTAGTGTTTAACTGTACCTAAAAGTCGTCGTAGTGATTAACGAGAATAATTGTACCTATAAAAATGAAATCAGTTCACGAATCTCTGTAAGACAATTAACGAAAAGGGAGAGGAAGGAGTGGATGAGAAAACAAAAAGAAATGAAAACTGTATCAAGAGGAACCCGCCTGCAATTACCGTTCATCGTTATTCACAAGCCGTTCTGTCTGTAATTTGAATTGTCAAGAACGTGATTTGCAGGCAGCGCAGCTGAACCAAAGTCATGATTGCAATTGCACAGTCACGTCTATTTATTTTTCATTTTGCTCGCATACGCTTTTATCGGAACGGTCGACGCGTCCACCGTTGCACTTCCGGTCGATCGATCCTAAAACCGTTTCACGTGTTCTTATTTCTCTTTTGTATGAATTAACCCTTCCTCGCTGCCATCAGACAATGTTGTCAAGGGAGGGTGCATCGGCGGATGCGTCGAACATCGTTCGGCCACAAGTGATTTCGTAACTTCGCTATTCTAAAAAGAAAGAAAGAAAGAAAGAAAGAAAGAGAGAATAGAAGCGATGATCCGCCTTTTGTGGAGAGAAACTACGTTCACGATCAAGAGAAAACGGGTGATAAATAAGTTCGCAAGACCTCACGTTCGTTTCCTACTATTTTTGTATGCAACATAAGAGAAAAAAAAACAAAGGAAATTGACAGTAGCGAGAAAAAAAATAAAGCAGTTCGTGTGTGAGAGTGGGAGAGGATGAAGCCGAAGGCGTGAAACGGACACGAGAACTAAACAGGATCGAGGATGCACTTGATTCTTCCTGATCACCTTCTGTTTGATCGCCTTTAACCGCGGCCGAGAGTTGTGATTCATTTTTTTCGCGATTAGTCGATGATTGACACCGGCCCGATGAAACTTTCGTCCACGCGTGAACGAATTTTCAATTGTTATTCGCGCGATTCGATGTAAGGATATCGGCGAGAAGCGATAGAAATTTCCTGGTTAGAAGAACGATTCGAACCCGATCGATTAAATATATTTTCTGTGGACATTTAATTTCTGGAAGTTCTGGCAACTTCGTTTAATCGCTTCTCGCTCGTTCCAAGTAATAGGATTCGAGATCGGTAACTACTTTTTTATTTGATTCTCTGCCGTTCTTTAATTTTATCAAGACTGTGCGGGACGCAGGAAAGACGGGTTACCGATCTCTTTAGATTTTAGCTGCCGCGAACTCATCGTTACAAAGAGAAACAGAAGTTAAGAGCTTGGCAGCCCACGGTGAATATATTTCAGATCGGAACGACGGGGTTGAGAGAGCTGCAATTCAGATTCTCATTATTTTCAGCGAACTCGATTACGTTTCTTCTTTTTTCTTTGGACATATCACGTGGAGCAAACGATGGCTGTGCCTTTTATGCTTAATATATTATATCTTGAGTTTCCTTTCGAACTGATTCACGTGCAGGATAGATTAGGCTCGTCTCTGGTCCCGCGTTTCTGATGTTTAATAGGGGAGAATCATTTAAATATATTCACTCGCCACGGGCCAGTTAGGATGACGGTCGACTCTTTGAAGTTCGGAGAAATGATTTCGTTTTGTTCGTCTTTTTAATTTCAAGTTTTTGAATTAGAAGAAACTTACGAAGATTCAAAGAGTCGCGTCGGAGAGGATAATCGAAGGAATGAGTGAGTGAGTGTGCGTGGAGAGGAAAAAGAAGTAATAAAAAAGAATAAACCTACGATGGATCGAAGGTGAATTAGGAATCGTATGATGAGAAGACAAAAAAAAGAGCTATACTACAAATCCAAAGATGCACAACATCATAGACAGCCGGACAATTTGATAGAACTCATGTCAGTCTAATTATATTTCTTGTTATATATTATATACATATATATATCATATTTTCCAAAAACGAATTATATATATATAATTAAATAAAAAAAGAAGACACTCTCTCGTTTGATACTTTGCGAGATACTTCACTCATTCTAGCAGTCCAATGTATACATTATTAATTTCCTTTTCTAATTTCAATTCTAGAACGATTTAATTAATTGAAAGAACTCCGATCCTCCCGATACTTCGTTCTTCAATTCCTTCGAAAGACGCAGAGGTGACGGCTGGAAGAGTACGTAAGACTGGTGAGAGTGATTTTAATTCCTTTCAATTCGTAATCGACGGTCATCAACAATAATTGATATGGGGCAATAGTTACGATTGATTGAAGATTGTTATTGAAGCCGGTAGTCCTTTATATATTTATGACGCGTTAAGTAATTTTTACTCAGTCGCGCGCCCTTCGACGATCGGTTCGCGTGCTTCTTACGTCGAATTCTCGTGTTCGACCTAAATTATGCATGCGTATGTAAGTATACGTGCGTGAGAGACGACGCTGCGGATGGAGAAGACGACTTCGAGGTAGCTGCTGTCCATCCTGGAGGACCATTTCACGAGGAATTCGCCGAGAACTGTGAGTAATTTAATGAAGCCATTATGAAAAACTTATCGATTGCCAATAGAAATCTTTTCGACCTTTGTTGAAGGTTTGTCTTACATACTTTCATTCCATTTTACAAGAAATGAGTTTGATTTTCAAGTTCTCAAATGAACGTACAATAAGTTAAATGATTGACAATCGATCGTGTCAAGGTTTTTAGGGGCAATGAGTGGACGTGTTTATGGTTACAAGATTTATTACGTCTTCGTTATTTACACAAGTTCGTTGTAAGTTTTTGGACAAGGGTCCAGAGAAACGTTGCGGGACTCGGGAGAATAGAATCGTATGCTTACAAAAAGTACTCTATACAGGCATTTTCTGTCCCCAATGTCGCTATGAACCAATGCCGCGGATACGATGAAACGATAATTCTTTCTCGTTCATCGTGCCATTTAGCGACAGTTTCAAAACGAAATTTCGAAACTGTTTCTAAGTAGAACGTCTGCAGATCCTTGCTAGGCATTGCACATTCGAGTCACAATATCATCTCTCGAATTATTATTGCACAATAATATAATTTATCTAACGTCGTAACAAAGAAGTTTCATAGGAATTATTATTAGATTAGTTTCGTATGCGATTCGAACTCTTCGTCGTACGACGTTGTTGTCTGAATATCGAAGTCTCGTCGTTTACAAAAATGATTAACAGCTCTCTTATTAAACCGAATCGATGCTTTTTTTTTTGTCGTATGAACAACTGATTGGTTACGAGTGTTACGTTCGCGCATTCATACTCTCCTATTTTCATCTTTGCTCGCTTTAAAAGTAAACTTTACGATTACCCACCACCACGTTGGACCCAGTTACGCCACCGCTCCGAAGCGGTGTCTCTCCTTTTCTCACAAATTAAAAACTAAATAAAAAAAAACGCTCCACGAATCTCGGTACTCCTACACTGCCAATTAAATTTTTCAATCGATCCTGGAATACCGATGTAAACACCGATAGAAATTATTTTTATTGAATTACGGTTCGAAGTAGCCAAATAAAAAAGATGAGAGAGGAGTAACGATACCGGAGCAGCACCTCGTTTCAATGAAAACTAGTTTTACGTTTAAGCGTTATAATGGATTATACACTCTTGTCGCCACACTCACGCGAGTGTCCCGTGTGCTCGCAGACGCGAGGAACTTTCTTTACACCTTTTTACTCTTTGGTGCTGCAGTTTGTTATTAGTTTTTCCTCTCCTTTGTTCCGCGGCAACGGGACCCGTTATCACGTAATATCCAAGCACATAATCGGGGGCCGCGTGATCATCGCAGGATCCCTTACAAGTATTTGCTCGTTTCGAGCCGTCGTTATCGTTCGATACCACAGAAACTCGCCCCCGACCTTCTCACACGATGATTAAATATTTAATTACAGTTCGTGGTAGCTCATTCACGATCAAATGTATTTAATTCAATTTCAAGTGGAGACTGTACAGAATAAATTCTACTATTAATTGATGAATTTGAAAATGTAAACAGAATTCGATTAATTTTAATAAATATCGTTCGTTGCAATTAAATTGAACTCGGGGATTATTTCTGTGGAAACGATATTACGGAAGGGATTATAAATAATGAGAGAAAGATTGCTATGGAAGTAGGAAGTTATCTATGCCGACACTTGCTACGGAAGTCGTGGAAGAAGAACGGTAGTTAAAAATCACTGGGGCGTTTGATTCGCTACGAAAAAGAAAAAAAAAAATAGAGTCTCTGTCGACTTCGCCTTAAACGCTAGAGCGATCCGTTCTGCGCGGCTGATTAAGTTAAGTTACCGAGACACAGAGAGAGAGAGAGAAAGAGGGAATTCGTTGGGTTCCTTTTTCTCTTAGTTTAGTGCGGCTGCTAGGGTAGCTAGGACAGCGTATACTGGACTAGTATACAATATTATAATGTATAATAATAATCAAAATAACGTATATATTATTAGTTAATCCTACGGATTCGTGTCGAGTTTCACGTTGTCGAGCTAGGCTGCCCGGGTCCTGGCACGCGTTATTCATAAAACAACGGTAAGGTTCTTTAAAAAGGCAGTGTTTAAATTATCAGTAGACTTGCATTCATAGAATAATTGAATTATGCAGGAAGTATGTAGAATTTATACGACATATAAAATTGATAACATCATATTTGTTAGATGTTTTATATCGCGTACGAAAATTGACGGTCTAGTTATGAACTGGCAAGCATTTTTTAAATTTGCGTGTTCGGACCTCGTTCTTAGCTACCCCTCGTCGAAACGAAAATACAATAGCATCGGCAGTTGAGCAAAATCTCATGTTGCTAAATTCTCTAAGCCTCGCGACGCGGTGGACGTAGAACCGATACCTGCGATTTCGTTCGTTCGAAACTTAACTGCTGTGGCTGTACGCGGTATTCGTGTACGGGCCGCTGTAGATAGACGATCCCGTCGTCGAGACGCTCTTATGTCGCCTCTTCGCCAGTAGTACCAGAATCGCCGCGACCACCGCTAACATTAGAATCAAACCAGCGACTGCTATTCCAATCGCGAAACTCCTCTGCGATATGCAGATACTGTTAGGATCGTCGATGGTCTGTAATCAGAGAATTCGAAAGCTCAATCATTCCAGGCATCCTAAACATTTTCTGTTTTAAAAGAAGTTGAAATCCTTATCTGGTAATGCCAATTATCGTGCTGCAGATTTTGATACAATATCGAAAGTAGAATACACATAATTTTTAAGGAATAAAAGAATTTCTGTTTGGATTTCATTACGAGAAAGTTAAGTGTGCGTTAAATCAACATTTTTATCTAAGGTGCACTCTTTTATTGGTTTCGTAAATCCTTTGTTTCGTATAAAAATCTGATCATCTCTGCAAAGAAATCGTTAAAAGAGGAACGTCAATGGACTGACCCTTTCCCTGAAGACGTCGTCGGTGAAGTCGGACTTGGAGGCAATGTCCGAGGCTTCGTTCACATACAACCCACTGTAGACCTCGATTGTGGCCGGTGTGCCGGCGTCCAGTCCCTCGACACCTTTCGCTGCATTCTCGTTGGCAGTGTCCCTGCGTCTTCTGGACAACGAATTGCATTCCGGTGGCTGTAACGGAATGTCAATGATTCCACTTTGGAAATTTTCCAATACCCCTTCGTCGAAATGTTACAGTTTCTTTTTTTATTTAAACGAGATGTATTGAGTATTCTCATTACCGTCTTGCTGCACCCTCCATCGTGTTTTATACACAGTCGAACGTTGCATTGGTAATAGACGCTGGCCGTGTAGGGGAACTTGTGAGCCTGGAAGTTCACTTTTGCCTCGATCTTATCCTCGTTGTACGTGAATTGTCCCATGATCTCTCCGTCCACAGGGCAACTGCAATAATAAAGATTGCTACTTATTTTCTCACTGATTGTTAAACTCCTTTCAATCGTAAAACCGTATTCAATCTGCTTTATCGTTGAAATATTTTTCTAATTAATTCGACTCCTTGTACGTCACAAAAAGTTGTAAAACCCTGTTCCCAATTGTGTATTACAATTGAAGAGGGAAAGTGTAACCTGGATCAGCTGATTAGCTCATGAAAAGAAGTCAGTGAACCGGGCTCGCTTTGTGTAGCTTCAATTCCGGCGTTTGAATAATTCATCGTGTACACTCTGACGTATTTCTTTCCTGTCTATTATTAACCCTTGGGCTGTAAACGTATTTCAAGCCACATGCATTTTTTAATTCTTAAAAAAGTCTGAAAGAATTCCGACTTAATTAAACTGCTATTCATGTTTGTTTAAATAGCAATCTTTTTGATAATTGACATTTCAAACAATTCTTTGATATTTTCTCTTCAGTAGTTTATCAACGATTTTAACAGCTAATTTAAACACATTGGATCGTAAATTGTTCGGCCGCGAATGACCCTCCTACAGTTTAAGAGTTAAAGATGTTCGCGATGGAAAAAGCGGGAACACGCGACGGAAACGTTTAGGTGTTTCTTGCTTGAAGTTGAAATTACCCTTCGTCGTTTATAAGCCTTTGCTCTCCCCATCCAAGACCGTCGCGCACCAGGCAGTCGGATATCTTCAAGCCGAACATTTCCTGCTTGTCGATGCTAATGACCAGGGTCAGAGGGTCCCCGATCTTCACGTTTTCCGCCACTTGATGCCTCGTTGGATCTCCGCTGAAGATCTTCATCGTGCATCCTGGCATGGGAGCTGTCGCCTATCGGCGGTCGTAAAACGCAATTTATTATTCATCTCGTCTCTCCCTCGTGGCTATTTCTTTATTAAAAAGCTGCGGTTTATTCACGCGAGCAAGTTTTACCTGCAACGGTAGCGATTGCAACATCGCCACGTGCGTCTGGTCGTTTGTCACCACTTTGTCCCGAGTTTGGTAGCGACAGCGCACGTGGAATCCTCTGCCCTGGTTCGTCACCAGTTTCAGGTGTGGCTGCACTACTATAGTATTGAAGTACTCGATACCTCCGTCGTCCTGTAACAGCAACCATTTCACAATTCTCTAAATTACAAATCTTCATTCGAAAGTACATAGAAAAAATTACAACGTCGTTCATGTCAAATTTGTTAAGTAACAATCTCGTAAATCTAATGAATGATCGAGAAAGAAAGAAGAGGAGCAAAGTGGATACTGCTTCTGGAAGAAACGAAGAGAGAGCCACTCCTTTCGCGGTAGAAACGGTGGAAGGCGAGGATAGCGAACGGTCCGGTCCGGTTTTTGCAGGGTGCAAGGACAGAAGACTGCTAGACTGAAAGTCCAGGGGAAACGTGATCGGCACGGCGTCAGGCCGATTACCGAAACGCTCGTAAACGAGATATTGCAAAAGACTCGCGTGCTCGAACCTCCAACAAAGAAAGAGACATAGAATTATTTTATGTTCTCGTTGTACAGTTAATATTAGCTCGCAAACAATATTTACTAAGAGCAAGATCGCTGAGGGAAACGAAGAAGGATTTATGATGCTCACTGATAATCTGTAACGGGAATTACGACCTTGAAGAGGTTTCTCCTTGATTCATAGTTGTCGCGATACTATTATCGTTATGCACGCGCTAGCGTTAATTAATTACCACGATCCCGTTTTATCCCTCGACTGACCGGATTATTAAACCGTTAACAAAATTAAGCAAGATAGCATCGCAGCAGCGGTCGTATTAAGTCCATTCGAAAGCATAGAATAAGGAACTCGTTTTGAGTCATTGATATATGCGTAAAGGGATGTACAAGAATTCCCAAGAAGGATTACGCTATGGATCTATCTTTTCTAAGGAGAGCGGATGCTGGGCGAAAATTCTCATGGCACACCGTGTATATCGAGCAGGCAACGACCTTCGCCGATGCTACGGCGTCCGACCTCAGCAAGGATACTCGCAATCTGCAGTGCATCGGCCCGAGCCTCGACAGATCGCTGACTTTACGTTTCACACTTATCTAGCAACGAAGGGAGTTATTTACGCCGACTTCTTTTAAACCAACAAAGGACATGCCCCAAAAACTTCAGCTTCTCTTTGTTAAGAGGAATCACATCTTAAATTCTAAACACTTCACGATTAATACTTTTGATTTTACAATTATTCTTGCAAGTCTCTAGCGACGTTCACTGACACGATTTCTTTGATATCGCAAAGATTTAATCAAATCCAATGAGACTGACTCTAAAGATTCTATAATTATTTTGGAAACTTCTCGCGACAATCGTTAATAGAATATCTTGCGGTGTACGGACACCGCAAGTTCCGAGAGAAGATTCGATCGGATTCTGCAAAAAAAGGTGATCGGCTTTCTTTTTGTATTGGATCATATACCGTGGGGGCAGACCACCCAAGCGAACGTGACGGATTTTTGCGGCTTAGTATTCTCTGTGGTTATGGTCGGCCGTGATCTTTCGCGTTATCTACGAAGAGGAAATTCCTGGAGCTTGGTTTCCTCGAGTTATGCGCACGGGGCCTCTTTTTACGATCCCCTATAGTCTGTGGTTCTCGGCTTCTTCAGGCCTCGTTTTGGTTTGGCTTATAGCAATCGATATCGACGTTTTTCTCGAGAATCGGTGTATCACGTAGGTAGATACTAGTTCTGCGTTACCACAAATTGCGATGATCGCCATTGAAGGTGTACGTGCTCCGAGTTCATTGCCAGAGAGGCTGCAAACTCAATTAGCTCGTTACGTAATTGTTTGATACTATCTATCTCCCCGATACATATTGCTTCTTTTATCGAGATCCCTGGGTTCTTCAACAAATAATTAATCTCTGGCCCATCGACGTTATTGGCTATCGACTGAAAATTGCATAAGTAAAACGACGCGAAAATAACGTAGGGATCTAATCCCGGCTATTAGCATCGATTCTCGTGTACAACGCACGGTACACGTCCATCATGGCTGTTTGTGCAAAGGGGCTACGTTCTCCAACCTTTCTTGCTCCTTTTTCCCTCTTCCTTCGCTCACGTACGAACCCATCCGCACACGTGTGCACCATTTGTACGTGTAACACGCGGTGCTACTTGCTCGTGTAGGTGGGATTCTTATTCTTACACGGCGACCTCGAAAACCGCGCAGCATCCTGCAGGACGTGTCGGACGAATCGTTGCCAGACTAAAGGCCACGCCGAGTCGGATATATTACGCTTCAACAGAATTTTTCAGTCCTTCCCACTTCACGATTACTCGTACTGTTCAGTTGAATTAGTACAATCGATCAGATCTCAGTAAATGGACTCATGGTACCGTATTAGGTTCAGAAAATATCTCACAATAGATACTCGGCGTTCGTAGTTTTACATGGAATCCCATTTGATACAGTTAACTCTATTTACGGTTTTTGTGCACTGGTAAAATCGAAGGTAACACGTCTAAAGGAACGCCCACTTCGACAGTCGTAAAACACGTTGGAACGAGCTACGGGAACATGAGGAATCGCCGCGAACCGCACGATCTCGTCGGATCCGAGGAAAGTGGGAATTTATTATGATGTACCGTTGCATCGTATGTACACCCCCGTTCAGAAGTCTCAGGACACATCGCGAATAACAGACGTTCTATGAAATGTACAAATGATCATTTCTAGTATTTTAATAATTGCTCCTTGTGATTTAAAAATAATTAAAAACAATTGCAATGATCGATTCATTGACGTTGTTCACTTTATTAATTTGATATTCATTGAAATAATTATTCAAAAATTGCTGATATATGCAATATAATCTTTCGTATGTTGCGATATGTTCATTACAAATCAGATATTTTAATACAAGCTCTGCGATGTCATAAGATTTCTGAGGAGAGATGTACCGAAAGCATTGTTCCCTTCAGTACGTGCTCTAACGGTTCAAAAATTCTTGAAAACTATCATCGGTGTATACCGTTGCATGGTTTCATTGCCGGGCGAGATAGGCAACAGGAATGACAGGAGTTGAATCCCATCCGACGCGGGATGAGAAGTTATCAGACCGCGAGGCATCCGCGGTATTTTCCCTTATTGCAAAGTCACGTGTGTCAGATTTTTTGCAAAGCATGCCTCGTGATTTGCGGATACGTCACATATTTGCAATTTCAAGAGAATCATTCGATATCGTCAGGAATTCATTTCTTATCCCTAGACCGCGGAATTTGAAAATAAAACATCTACAAAGTATTTGTTTTACAATTCAGAAATAGTAACGAGTATTTCACTTTTTACATTGTTCAATGTCTGCGGACATTAAATCTGCAATCTGGTAATCTCTTTGCAAAAACGAATGCCAGGAATCGAGTTTTATTTCTATGGAATGTAGGGGATTTTTATTGGAGAATTAATGACCGAATCCGAGGATGATTCGATTATTATTAGATGAAGTTGAAGGATGCTATTAAATTTTGATGACTGACGAGCCAACGTGCAGTCTTTGTAAAATCGCAGTTTTTACAGCTTGCGACATGGTAAAACGAATCCTGGAATTATTGCTACATACACATTTTAAACTTGATGATCCGTTTTAATATCAGTAGGCACAGATTAATAACGTTTCATAAAAATGAAATAGGAATAGCTTCCCTCTTCCTTTTGAATCGAGGAAATCGTACGAGGTTCTTCTCTGAATGTTTCGTACGAGGCTGAACGTTTCGCGTGAAAATAAACTTTTGCGGAGGTGAATACACGCGAGCCTGCGTACGATCGTGATCCTTGTCGCAGATTTATGTTTCTCGGGATAGCCGGATATTAATTCTTAGCCCCCCGCCGGAGATCTTATTAGGTAGAATTTACGTAACATCCGCGAGAAGTTGTTGTTTTCTCGGTGCTTCGTTCCTTCGATTAACCATGTTTGCCGGCATCCTTAGAATGTACGCGTAGGCGTGACTTGCACGCGACGTTCAGACAGATGCGGGATAAAATAGTTTTCCGAGATACATACAACCCTCAGGAAATCTTGACCTTATGGAATATAATAGAATCGCTTTAGGAGTCTCGCAATAAAGTCTTATTTCTTCCTGACAAAAATTCGAATGGATATAACTTCGCGAAATTGTCGGGAGTGCACGCAACCTTTAAGAAATTTTAAGCTTACAGAATATAATAGAATCGCTTTAGGAGTTTCCGATGGAACTTCGTTTCTTTACAAAAATTCGAATGGCGAGATAGCTCCGAGACGTGTCCTACAGCCATTGCCTTTGCGAACGTGAATACTTCGAAACAATCTCGTTTCTCATTGAAAAGATCAGAGATATTAAATTGATCAAGCGGCGTATGCAAATGCTCATCTTCGCCCTGCCCTTGGGCTACTTTGTCTACTATTACGATACATCTCTAGCAGAGAGGCTAGAGCTTTCCTCGGGTTCGACGTCCGGTCAGTTCAGGCTCTGCAGCTGCAGCTGCACCCGCTGCATCTCTCGCTACGCCGTGTCTGAATAATTGTGCTGGATGTTCCCCGTCCGTTCGGAAACCTCCGCCAATTAGTCATTTGACGGACGGAGGTCCAAGGGTTGCATGTTGATTCCATTTTTCAACACCGCGTACCTTCAATCATCCGCTTATCATACGTTATTTTGCATTTCATTCGAGACGAGCACAAGTCCATAATTAAATATGTATTCTATGATTGATTTTCGAAGTACAGTTACAATTTCGTTATATTCTCTTGGCTAGAAATAACTCGATCTCATACCTTTCAAGCCTACTTAGTCATACGAGTCGTTTTGCTTTTATTGAAGATGAACATACGTCGATAATTAAATATGTATTGCATGTTCGATTTACTAGAAAAGAAATACTGTTAGAGTTCCACTGGGATCTTCTGTCGGCTATAAATAATTCTTACGTCCCTCGGTGATGTCACACCTCGAGTCCGCGAGAGCCCCGGTATAAGGACATGAAAAAATCTCTTTTGTCAATATTTGCCGTTCATCCCGTATGCGCGTCCAGTCGTCTATGGAACGGCGTACAGGAATTCATGTTTAAGGTGCAATCTCAGCCAATTGATTCCCTTGCATTATTCATGCCT